GGCCAGGCCAGATGCGGGGCGAAGAATGAAGATTGAAGATAACGCAAGTATGCTTTTTTATTCTTATTCGGATTTTTTTGTTGGCGAGTACGTACGACTAGTACTTAAATGTTTTTCAAAAGAAAACTTTGCCGGAGGGGGATTCGCGCTGCTGCAGTTGCTCCTGCTGCTGCTTCTGCTGGAGATGAGGATGAATTTTGCGATTTGTGCGCTAAGATTATTTTGTTGTAAAATAAGGTTTGCGTTTATAGGTATACTATGGTAACGATGCTTGGCGAGCTTCGAGCATGCACACCTCATTATATTAAACGACTAGACTAGATTAGATTGGAGTGGAATAAAGTTTCAAGAAAATCATGTTACCGCAGAAAGATAGGGCATGTAAAACAAACAAGCTTTTATCTTTTTTGGTTTTGATGGAGGAATCTCGCTATAGCAAATGTAATAAGCTTTTTTATATCAAGCCAATGCAAGAAAGATACAATTTCATGTTATTGGTTGTTATTGGAATACCTACCACAATTCGATTCTTGTTTACCACTATTCAAAATTAGCAGTCATCGTATTGACGAAACGTGTTTTTTTTTATTATAAAATCCATCAAGTATTTTTTACTGATGGCAGAATTTTAAAAAGGACAACTTTTGAGACAAGTTGTGCAATATCTTCTCAAGATTATATGCATTTTATAGTTTTATAGGAAGAGTGTTTTGTTTGCTATATACTTGGGCAAAAACTTTAGCACGTCTATCCTCTAAATAATATGCAATTATGCATGCATTACAACATCAAAGCTTCGGGTTGAGTGCCAAATTATCAAGACATAGACGTGATAAAATTTACTAATAATGTGACGAGGGTATTATATAGCTATTTTACAGTTGTTTGTGTTTTTGATTGCTCAACAGAATTAAGTATATTTGATTCATCTATCTAACAACAAAAATAATTTGCTATCGAAAAACTATGTATAGAAAAGTGAACATCTGCTCTTTGGGGAAAAAATAGACGCTGACATAGAACTAACATAGAATCTGATTAGAAACATTTTGAGAATCCTTAGAAATAAAAAAATTAAAACCAGGGCCCGACGATAAATAACATAGTTGAACCAACAGGTCATTGCATTAGAACCAACCAACTCTTCCAAAAACATCATAACAACCGAAAATACCCAAAAACAATCCCAGACAATTATCGCGGAATAATCTCTCAAAAATCACGCTCAAAGCATTTAACTATTTCAGAGGAAATCTGTAGCCAATCTATGCCTGCTTGACAGTCATTATCGTAATAATTCGAGAAAGGTGTACCAACTAAGGATTAAGAAAGCTAATTATGAGAAATCGATAGCCATTGTAAAACAAATATACAAGTGCTAATTGGAGAAGTACATATATATTCAAATAGGCCTAAAGCAAGGCGATTGCGATTGACTTGTCCCGTTCATTCAACATAATTATGGTTCTTGAAATACCTAGTTAAAAATCTATTTAAAATAGCAAAAAAATGGGAGAGACTTGCTGTAATGCTATTTTTTACATTAATATACTTATTGGCGACACAGACTACGCTACTCCTTAAATCAAACAGTGCACATATCGGGTCTTCAAAAAAAAAACCAATCGAAGATTGCTTTGATTACGAAAACGTACGTCGCATTATTGTTTCTTTATTGGTCAGGATTTTTAACATGACATTTTGTCATTAAAGTTCATTGACAAAATTAAAGAGAAATATAGCTAAGACATACGTTCAAAAAACCATAGCTATCTTTGATTGTTTTTTTTTTTTGAAGACCTGATATCATTAACAAAGACGAAACCAAATGTTTAGTAACATCGGAAGAGCCAACAAGAAGCAAATGGGAATTGATTTATTCTCGGGCAAGTAAATCGCCTTGAATAATCTGGTAGCTGATATTAGCTAGTTCTGGATATCTACAGAAGGAAATCGATGAAAGCATCTGGAATCTCTGGATACTTGAGACATCGTATAAAGTTTGTGTTCACTAATTTTTATACATATTGTATATTATATCATGTCATTATTTCTGATAATAATAAAGAGCTACAGCTGTATCTACATATTGACTAATATTAAGAAGTCTAGGTATAAGTATAGAGACCGAATAAGAGACATAGAAAGAAGCTGCAAACATAGATAGAGTCAGTTGACATGATTTATAGAGAGTCCGGAACATTGGACAAGTAAAACGAGTTGGTATGAGCAAAAGACAAAAACAGAACAGACATAAGGATCAAAACGAAATGGGACAATGGGTTAGACGAACTATCAAGTACAAAAAGAAGAGGAAAGACATTCTCTAAGAAAATGTTTCCAGAAAAATGTAGCAATTGAGTAATTACTGACAGTCCCATAACTATTCTTGTACCCGATGGTAACAAATAGTGTTTTGAAATCCACCTAATCCTCGTTCAAGCTGGCCCTCTTAATCATTCTCATCTCTCTCTCTCTTTGCAAGCCACCAAAAAGCCAAACCACAACCGACCGACCTGTTGAAGGCTCCTCGAAAAGCGCGCCATGCCTGGCCCCGATCGAATGGAATTTCGCCTTCGGGTCACGTCGCGCACCATCGGTGGAATGCAGTGGCCTGCTGAGATCGTGCGGCGTAATACAGGTAGCTGCTGCATCGCGCGGTTTGTAGTTCCCCTCTCGCCGCCCCTCGGTTCCCTCTCGCCCCACGTTTTAATAGGTCCCCCAGTGAACACTCTGGCATAAACGCGGATATCAAGGCATGTTAGTGAGGACATTGACGTCCGCAAATTTTTTCCCTATATGATCGATGATTGCGACTGTCAGTCGTCTATTTGCGTACAGCCTGTTTTCAATTTAAAATGTTTGCTTTCGCAATCAGATGCTTCTTTTTTTTTATTCACTTATTTTCATATGTCTTGTATTACAAAGGAAACAAATTCATTAAATCTCTCTTGCATGTTCGTCAGTCTCCATCATTCACCTTCATTAGATCTTTTTTTACCTAAACTTTTTTGTTGAGAACATTTTATGTTAGACATCTTGCAACAAAATTACAACTTCACTAGCTCCTTGTTTCCTTGCGACAAAGCTGTAGGTATATCGTATGTATGCATCAACTTTGTTAGTTCTTTTGATGCCACAGACTAACAAATTCCTTAATTCATTCCAAGACCTAATGCAGATCCCTTTTTTGCGTCTTTATCAGGCTATCTGTTACTGATTACTTGCCATCTTCGTCTTGAAACAAACGGATTTACTACTATTATTTTATACTAAATTCGGAGATCCGGAGAGTTTTTCTCTCTACGACCATTAAACTTCTTTAATGTTCACATCATCATTAATGAGAACCTCAAAATTGGTCTGAGCTAACCACAAGAAACTCGTCAGGCTCCAATTGGAATATGCTTGGAATGGCTTAGAGCCTCTCTTTCCATCTGCGAAGATCTGGGTTTACAACTGACTGAGAATGGCACTTTCCTGGTTTGAAACGCCCAAGCAGAATATCACCGAAATTTGACATAACCTGAGATATTAACGAACAAGAAGAAAAAGGGTGCTTCATCTCTTTACCTATTCTAGGTAGTATTACCGGAAAATGTGCTTTTTCTCTACATATCTTGAAAAATACTGCAATAAATGTCTGTACATATGTTTGAGGTGGATTTATAATATGTATTACCTTCCATTTTTTGGGACTTACACATCAAAATACTACATCTACCAAATGCGTTTATAAGATAACTAACCCAAGCTTACACAGATTTTTTTTTAAAAGAAGTTCCCCATTATGCACCGAGACCAAAAACAACAATGTTCCTATTCTTCAGTAGTTGCAAAGTTTAGTCGTTTAGTCAAAGTCAAATAAAATATCCCGTTCATCCGCCTCTGATCCTGGCGTGGCAAAAGAGAGAAACGACAATGGACTTGGTTTCTCTTCTGCCTCGCCGGTCCCGTCCGACCGTCCTCTCCTTCATGCTTCATGTAGATATGAAGTAGGCAGTAGACAACACCGGTAGCTGGTACTCAAGTTTTGGAATTTTAAGTAGGCAATAAAAAAGCATTAACGATGTAACTCAAAAAAAAAAAAAAAATGCCCATAAATATGACGACGATTATGAATTACTTAAATCCATCGGCTTAAGAGGGCAGTGCGTTATCAAGTTTTTTTTTTTTAGTTCCTTATTTGTTTCAAGAGGATTGGAAACGGATTATAGAGAATCAACTATTAACTATTATATTTTAAAGCCGTAAACTATTTAGATATGCTCCAAGAGCTAAGCAGTATCAAAATTTATCGTGAAACAGGTATTATGATCCAAGTATTCAATATTAAATTTCAAAGTCAACCTGTTACTTTAATCCGTATTATATCCTTCTCTCAGGTATCGATAGCAACCATCGGGAGGGTGTTAAAATGTTAAAAATTCCTCTTCGGACATTTTTGGCATTTTTATACACAACACCAAGTATACCTGCTTTTATGCCTTTTATCTAGATGCCACAATAGCACTCTAGGATGGAATTCCTCAAACATAATAGACCAGATGGTTTATTGCAATTGGTTTTAAAACTATTTCGAAATGTGGGAAAATCTGTTTGGTTTGGTAATTGAGGATAATGCTTATGTATGTTGGTTGTTATGGAAAGTGAAGGTGCCATAACATTAGTTTAATGCTTTCAAGATTGAATGGTGTAGAACTAATCACAGCTAAAGGAAGTGTCAAATGACTACTTGCTTTTAGCAATTGGCAAAATTAACATTTGGTTGAATTGATGAAATCTTTAAAGCAAACGAAAAAAAAATATTAAAGGGTCTTGTATATAAGCCAATCCTACAACAATTAAATAAAAACTTCTTGTAACCTCGACATTCCTGAACTGTGTGGCTCGTGCCCACAGACATGAGTGACCTCTGAGTGAATTACACGAAACGAGTTCTTCAGTTTGGAGATTGTCGCCGAGGTTTAAAAACGAGTTTTGTTACGTTTGCGACTTACCTCTAGGACGTCTTGTGCGGTTTGCAAATAATCCCTTAGCATTGCTTCTTGGACGACCCTCCATTCTTGACGGGGATCTTCTAGTTGTGTTGATTCTGAAACGATAATTTTCGACATCAATTCAATTGAAATTAAGCATAAAGGTTTCACTAAATAAATGCAAGAGTATTTTGGTTGTGAATGAATGAATGATAGTAAAATTTCATATAACATAAGAAAAATTTGGGTCATAATAATAAAGATCCAAAATGCATTTAAAAATTTGGTCTAAATAATATCATTTTTCCTTGGGATTAGGCCATACCCTTTGGTAGATCATTTCAATACATTTTATTCTTCAAGGATTATCAAATCTCAGGTTTATGGTTCATGGCCCGAATAAACTGCTGATATTCCAAGCGCCAGGGATTTGTTCAAATCAATGTCTATCAGTTCTCATATTTCTTGATGATGTGAGGACAGACTATACAAGTGCTGATAAATTTGTATCACAATCTTAGTCGATAAATTCTAAACAAAGTAAATTCCAACGTCGACGCCCAGTAATCGATAACAAATTAGGAAAACAGGCAGAACTACCTGATAAAAAAAAATAATAAAAGAATGAGCAAAAGAAAAACTAGCAAAAAAGATTCCTTTCCATTAGCCGCTACAAAAGAAGTGATGGACGAAGTAGGAAAATGAAAATTAGCCCTGTTATTACTTACACAGAATAATAACATAAGAAATAAGAAATGGAATATAAACATGCAAAGGAAAATCACAAGAAAAATAAGAAAGGCCAAGGAGAAGTGGAATGGGAGAGAGGATTTCAAAGAGGTTTGAAGATAATAGAGTGAATAAGAATGATCATATTTTATGCATGAAGTGCTTATAGAAGCTGCACGAATGGAAATAACGACTGAATAAGCACCAGAAAATACATACCTATACATGTTATTAATACATATCTATACTGACTATACTAAGAAATGAATGTAATTAAGTATCTCAGAAACTTTATAGAATGCCTACTGATACAGCTGTAGAGCACAAAAAAAATCCCCATAGCCTCTGAAAGCCAGATTGATATTAGTTCAGAATTCCTCGACATATATTAAGAATCGTATAATGAATTCCATGATAGAACATCTTTAATATTATTACACTAATAAAACTAATACAAACAGTCAAGGACATAAACGGCCATCAAGACCAAACATCTGTCGGAAACGAAATTTTGGGACAACCCCATAAAAGATTTTATGTTTAACCGCATTGCAAGCGACAAACTGTATATTAATATTCAAAAAATACATGGTTTACATACTTTTCGCTCAGTAACTTCCGTTTAAACAGTACTACCGCATTTTTACATACAAACAGATATCAAGACATCGAAAAGCAAAGGTAAACACGAATCCTAACAGTACCTACTAATAAACCAATAATAAATTTAATATGAGGGTATCATGCAGCGGCAAGCTTAATGGATGGCGACAATATATCCGCTACTAGAGACGTTGGCAGAATAATAATCGCATATACCTATGCATTATTTATTTAGTATTTAATGCCTTTTTGCTTTTTCCCATGTGAAGAATGGTAAATATGCGCTCGGACTTTAATTTTATTTAGATTTTTTTCATGCTTGTGATTACGAGATATTGCATTCCTGCTGCCTTGGATTTATTTATTTATGCTAGACATGGGAGTGAGCGCCAATTATTGCATTGGAACGCATATTTGTAAATCATCACCGGGGAAAAATATGTAGCCAGTGAATGTGAAGAAAAAAAAAACGAATGAGCTACTAGAAGTACTGGAAGCAGTTAATTAGGTTTAAGAAAGTAGAAACGTTGATCAAGTTGCTCATTGAAACGTTAAAGGTAATAAGCACTTCGAGTCGATTTAATTTATCCCTATACAATTTGGAACAAAGTAGATTAAGTAGCCTAATTAAATTTAGAAGAAAGGTTTTCAATCTCAAGTCACCCAATTTCCCAAATTCGATTCTAATAAGCATTAATTTACTTGGCTTTTATTATTTTTTGATGAATATTTTTCAGTCAGCTGATACTTGATGATATTAGATAAAATAAGTACTTCAATTCAAGATTATTTTTGTTGATCCTGATTATCATGTATAATTTTTTCAGGTATTTTAAGTATCTTCAGGGTTTATTTATTCCATTTCTTTATAGCCCCTTGTTTGATAGTACTAGGCTTCATGTGTCTATGTTTTTATAAATCGTCAATCTGGATTGCAATGTTTAATATTGTCGATACTTGTCTTGTTTCTGATCTATTCTTTCCGCTCCTTGTCGACCTTGTCTCAAAAAGGTATTTCCAATATGAACCTCTTCCTTTTTCCTTGAGTGATTTTCAATTTTGTTGATTATTGTTTCGGTAAGTGATGATGTTTCTGATACATGAGTAAGTGTCATTCATTGAAGATTTTGGTCTTCAGATGTTGAAGACGACTAGACTTGAAAACCTGTCCAAGCTTTCCAAATTCAGGTCACCTCAGCTTAAAGGGGGTGTGCGCCAAAAAAACAACTTCATCTCAAAAAAAAAAAAAAATCTAAGAATAACAGTGAAATCCGCACCCCTCTATGACAAATAATACCGCAGATATGGCTCTATGAAGGTACCGCATCTCACCCTATGACGTCACGAAAGCTCAAGCGACGCACGAGAAAGTGGAGTTAATTAAATTTACATATGTTTTTCCTGTGTTACCTGCAATAATCTAAACAAAAACCACTCACGCGTGCCGGGAACAATCAAATTAACAATGCGGAGCGCGGCTGGACGAAGTTCTCGTGACGTCACGAGAACGTCGTCCACACTTTAAAGCGATATATCTCAGCGATGGTTTATCGTAGAATAACGAGGTTTGAACAGTTATTCTTAGATTTTTTTGCACTAAAACTTTAATTTTTGGCGCACACCCCCTTTAATACGTCTCTTAACCTTTTCAGCTTTTCAATCACCTGAGAATCATAATTTTTGTCTAGAGTATGTAGATTCCTCAATGACTCCTATTTTTTCAATCATCTGCAAAGTCAATTGGAAATATGTCTTCCCTGTTGGTTATTCTTCTTTATGGTTTCTCTCCTGTCAATTCCCGTTGCTGCTTTGTCTTCTTCAATAATATATGCTACAGTTTCTTTGTTGTATTGTACATCTTTCCTCAGTTTTTTGCTCATTTTGTTGCATGTTTGTTTTACCACTGCTTTGCTTAAGGTGTTCTGTCAGTGTTGTTTTCTTTATCAAGCTTCCGTTATTTTTGACCATTTCGCGACTGTTTCCTCAATGCATAAAGGTTTGAATAAAGTTCCTGATGATAGGGTTTTACGGTAGCTTATAGTAGTCTATTTTTTTTGAAAGCTGGTATAATCAATTATACTCTTCCAATTTTAATCTCCTAAATCCTTTGAAGAGTGAATGAACCACGTGCAATAAACGATGAGGTGACAGTTTGATTATACCAGTTTTCAAAAAAATAGACTATAGTTTGGAGGAACGCGCCTTCGTCGCACCAGATGGACACTACAAATATTTGAGAGTACCATTTAGATTGTGCAATGCGCCTGCAATTTTTCAAAGGACTATTAATAGAGTTCTTGGGAATCTGAGATACGGAAAGGCACTAGCATACATGGACGATGTATTAGTTCCTTCTTCAAGTTTTGGAGTAGGTCTTGATAATTTGAAAGAAGTTTTACTTTCACTCCAAAGCGCTGGTCTGACTTTGCGTTTGACTAAATGTCATTTCTTTATGGCAAAGGTCGAGTATTTGGGTCAAAGCTCCAACGAATTGCCTCCATGATTACAATCGGAGCCTTTTAGAACCATCCCAACGCTGGCAATGGCGGCCATACTGGGAAAAAGGCCTCTTGACAGGCCGGGAGGCATATTCATTTTCTGCCAACGTAATAGGACCTTCGGCTGCATTCGTGTTCGTTCGAGCACAGCGTAGGCAAATTATGATTGAAGTGGGCTAACGTTGGCAGTTTATAGAGCCTGCCTGGCGTTTGTGAAAATATTCTCTAAAAAAATTCAATTGGAAATTGGCAGTTATTGTTAGTTGTTGGCACATGTTTCAATGCGAAATGCGATAACGAATGAAGAAATGCCGTTATTAAGAGTTTAAAAATGAATCATTGTGTCTACTTAAAGGCCCTAGAATTTTTTTGGCAGATTTGAGTTAGTTTCGGTTAGTTTTCGATAGTATTTTTGGTTAGTTTGGGTTAGTTCGGGTTAGTTTTCGTTTGAAAACCGCACTAGGCGCTGTTCCTTCCTGTTTCCTTCTTTCAAGTAAAGACATGAAAAGTATCTGATCCAAATTAACCCAAACTGACCCGTCCTGAAAATGCGACCCAATCTCTGTTTCTATCAACCTGATAAAATAGCGAAAAAAGAGGGCTCATAAAAAATAGAGCGCGTGTATGTATTATTAAATTTTGAAGAAATATTATGAGTCCCTGAAGTTGGCTTCTCTGACGTTGTGCGACAGAAACACAATTCAGCCGAGAGTTCAGCTGAACATTCATTTTATTCTGTTATTTTACAGAAAAATTAATATGTAGAACCAAAAGAGAAAAAAAATCTTTTGTATTTTGAACTTTTCATATTTTCGACATTTTGCATTCTCGACATTTCTCAATTTCTACCTTTTAGGTTTTATTATTTCAATTTTTTTCTTGCTCACAATCTATAAAATAGTTAGTATAAAAGGTCCATCGGGTAGTTCCAAAGACATCGGTAGTTTTATCTAACACAATAACATGCCATTGGTTTAGCTGAATTTTTTATACACTGTGTCCGTAAAGTAACGGATAAATTCATTATTTTGAAAACGGTAGAATTTTTGAAAAATCGCTCAGACACGTCAATTTTGTTTTTTTGTTTGAAATTTTTTGATATATTTTTCATTATACAGGGTGTCTCAAAAATAGCTCTGCTGCTATCAACTTTGTTTTTTCAAATGGATCAACCTGTATATTATGACATTTATGGATTCTGCGGGAAATTTTTGACATATTTAATGTACAATGTCATATACCTATCTTCAACTGTTTCGGAAATATTGACAGTTGATAATTGATTTTTTCGCAACTTTGACAGGCTGTAAAACCTGAACGGTTAATTTTAGAAAAAAAACCGATTTCACATTCTTATCTTAGATTTTCATAAACTATCATTTGACACCAACTTTGAATTTACCCAGAGATTAAATTTAACCGGAATTTTCAATCACGGATTAACTTCAAAATTGGTGTCAAATGATAGTTTATGAAAACTAAGATAGGAATGTAAAATCGGTTTTCTTGTAAAATTAACCGTTCAGGTTTTACAGCCTGTCAAAGTTGCAAAAAAATCAATTTTCAACTGTCAATATTTCCGAAAGAGTTGAAGATAGGTATATGACATTATGCATGAAATATGTCAAAAATTTCTCGCAGAATCCATAAATGTCATAATATACAGGCTGATCCATTTGAAAAAACAAAGTTAATAGCAGCGGAGCTATTTTTGAGACACCCTGTATAATGAAAAATATATCAAAAAATTTCAAACAAAAAAACAAAATTGACGTGTCTGAGCGATTTTTTAAAAATTCTACCGTTTTCAAAATAATGAATTTATCCGGTACTTTACGGACACACTGTATATATAAAACTCTTATCTTTTATCTTCCCTTCCTTTTAATAAAAAACATTTATGGAACCTAATGATCAATAAAATGCTTGTAACATACAGTCAGATGAAGTAACAACGTCTGGTTACGATGCTCATATTCTGCTAACGCTTCACGGCGCAGGGCACGAATCTAGCCGAATATCAGTTGCGTTGGCAAAAAATGAATATGCGGCCGGGAGGCTTCAGTCAGACTCAACGATTGGGGATAATGAGTTCATACTATCAGACGGGACCCCTTTATCACCAGAAGGGATGCAATGCCAAAAACTTCAGCCCCCCCTAGACAATACAAAGTCGTAGAGAGTCTGACCCAGGTTTCCTCAAGCCGAAGGGGCTCATCTGGTAAACAGACGGGTCTCTGATGGAAAAGGGTGCAGGGGCTGGTGTGGGTGGGGAGAGACCTATGGCGAGAATCAGTCTTGCACTGGGTCGATACCCAACGGTATTTCAGACTGAGATCTACGCCATACAGGTGTGTGCTCAGGAGAATCTCCAGAGAAGTTATTCAGGCAAGCATAATTATATGCAGCGACAGTCAGGCAGCCCTCCGAGCCCTTTGCTCAGACAAGGTCAACTCAAGGCTCATGCTTGACTGTATGACAATTCTGGAACTACTGAGTGAGCTCAACAAGGTCACTCCTGTTTGGGTTCCAGGTCGCACACGGGCATAAAAGGTAACGAGGAGGCGGACCAGCTGGCGCGTGAAGATAGCAACAAAGTCTGTAGCTATCAACACTGTCTTTATTGGGACAGAGCCTGCACTTGGTGGTGTTTCTTCCTGCCTGGTGAAAATCAAGATCAGGAACTAGTTCCAAGACGAATGGCTGATTCAAAGAGGCCTCAGACAGGATCTTTATACAAGGTGCCTAAAACTGCAAAGAGGCGAACAGCTTCCTCAAACTAAACAGGAGCCAACTAAGAGCCATCACAGGCGTCCTAACGGGGCACTGGGTGGTCAGATACCACCTACACAAAATCGGATTCAGTAATGCAGCGAAGAAGATGAAACTACCAAGCATATAGTGTGTGACATGTGACGCCCTCGTCAGTCGCAGACTACGATACCTCGGATACAGGTTTCTGGAACCTGATGAATAACGCATGTCCGACCTAAGCGAGTATGCACCTTTCTTAAAAGTTGCGGGCCCTAACGCAAGACAGGGCTGTAAAGGCCCCTCTTTCAAATCGATCAAATCATTCCTGAAAATGTCAATCTACATTTGAGATGGATATTAACACATTGATGTTATTCGGTTTTATTCTTGTTCCCCGCTGTAAAACCTCACTATACCGTTTCTTTCTCTGATCCTGATCTCTTCACTAGCTTTAGCCTTCCTTTTGGCAAATTCATATATTGTTCCTACTAATCTGTGATTATTATTATAAGGAATCATGTATTTCTAACTTGATATTCCATTTGGTTGGACAAGGTTTTATCTCTGGAGCCCTTTTCCGATCTTAGCATTAAATTGTTTGGTCTGTATCTGAGTATGGTAAGTTTTGTCTTCCAATGCCTGTATTTCATCTATTTCTTCATCTGATAGGTTGGAGCATATACCTGAATGATTTTGAGGTGGCATCTTTTTGAAAAACGAATAGTGACAAATATAAGTCTCAGTGAGATACATCTAATACATTTGATATTCCAACACCTCTAACATTAGAAAGACGGGATATGAAATTATTTTTTCTTTTACCACCGAAGAGAATTTTAATTCCATGTGGCGTTTTTTGTTTTCAAGATTCGAAAATGATAAAATCCGAACTAATACAAAATTGTACTTACGGCTCATATGATTAATATAATAGGGACCAATCTGGCCGTCAAATGCCTCTTCCCATCCTAAAGGCAATTCGTTTCCTATGCAATCGGCAAACGTTTGTGGCTTAGTATATCTGAAACAATTTATTTTCATATTAAAAATTGCAATAGGTAGAAAACATTCCGATACTTCCATCCAATCTAGCACAATATTATTTAATGCAATAAAATATATGAGTGAAAGTTCCAACGGACCGTTTAAAATGTGTACTGAAAACAATTTTTTCGCCTAAAAACGCGTGTTAAAGCTGAAGAAATACCTCACCTCAACGCACCGCTAAATGCCAGATCATGTAAATTGCGGCCCATTGTGTTTGTTTTGTTTCTGTCGAACGTGTATGTATTAATATCCACGCAAAAACTTATAATACGAATTATGTTATACAGGGAATTTGCATTCAGTCTTCATTAATAATTCAGAAAGTATTAAAAGCACCTGCCCATAATCGGTAGAGTAAAATGGCCGTTGCAGGAACGCTTAATTATGCAGTAATAGTAGTTTTGTAGTAAGGTGTGTCGATTCTCCTCTTATTCACTGATTTTCTCATTGAAATTGTTTACGTATTATAGCAATATTGCCATTAATATAGCCTCGTTTAGTCAAATTTCAATATCACATATTATGCAGATATAACATTATCTAGGTATATATTTTCAAAAATTCAGTTGAATTATGCGGTGACCAGCAATGAACTACGAGTTCGTCTCAATGAAGTAGTAAGAAAGTTCGGAATGGCCCCGTGCCTATCTACTCAATACGTATATTTGCGGCCAACATTAGAGTGAGAGAACGGGAGAGATCCGTGAGATTTTTTGCCCTTAGTAGCGCTATCTCACGCACGGTTAGAGTGAGAGATCCAATTGGTTTTCTGTCCTTACTAGCGCTATCTCATCCTGGAATCACTTGAGTGACGCAAAGCCCATTCCAAACCTTCTTACTACTTCATTGATTCGTCTCCAGTTAACTGCTGCTAATTTTTAGTTTTGCTGTTGTCTTCTGTCTTACATACTTATTTGATCCTTTAGCCTGTTTTGTACTATGAGTGTATTTCTATGACTACTATCCAGATTTGCCTTGGTAACTGAACTGTCTAAGTTTATGATCCGTATAAGTGAAGAGAAGAAACAAGCATTAGAAAAACTGTTTGCAGATAAAGTCAAATTCACCGAAAACTTCTCAGGATAATTTAGCTCATTTTTCGCCAGTTTATCACAAATAGATATATTCGCCGACTGTTTGCATAACAACCCAACTGCACCTAAGAATTTAGCTTGTCTCAGGAAACTGTCTAAATGAAGTAATTCTAAAATCACTTTTATAATAATGTAAAATAAACAGATAATTTGTATCAAGTGGTATATAATAGGTGAATAAACCCAAGAAAAAACTTAAAACGTTTGGAATGAAAGACTACGTCCCGGAACAAATATATACATAAATATAGTCCAACAAATACCATTTTAAAGTCACGTGATTTTTCTCTATCCTTGTTGAATACATCTCAAACAGCGGTGATAGTAAAATTGACAAAAAAATTGCTGTCTAATTATTGTTCATAATATTCTTACCTGAAATAGAATCCGTCACTGTCATCAATTAGTTTGTCAAAGTTATTTTCTAAAATAATACAACGAACAAACACAGCTAATAATTTTGACTTATATTAACCTTTTTCCAACTCGAAAAGAAGCAAATAGAAAACGGGTACCCAGTTTAAGTTCAGAATTTATTACAACAGACAGCAGAAGCGACAAAAGTGAGTCTCGCAACAATTGCAAGTATTAAAATGGCCCTCTGATTGGTCAATACTACTTCAGAAACGCGTTTGTAAAATGCTAGTGGGAACATATATTAAAATTCAATAGTAATTAACCACCAGTAGCTTTTTGTAGGTGATATCAACGACATAATCAATGGACATACGTTTTTTGCCACTAGTATCACGTGACTTTAAAATGGTATTTGTCGGACTATACCAATAATTAATATGTGTATAACTAAAATACTTAAAGATGGATAATTCCTAGAAGTATCTATCATGTTTACTAATCAAGTCGATCTGCAAACAATGGTAGTCTCCATCCGACGTCGCAAACTATTCCATGTATGTGAAAAAATTCAAACTTTTATGGTTATAGAAACCATTTTATATTCTCCTTATGGTGTGGCAGCATTCCTTTAGTGTGATTTCTCAAGTATGGAATAATTAATAATTAATATTTTTATTTTTCTGCAATTCAAACAAGTTTCCTTGCCCGCATCTCAAAATAGATACCAGCTGGAACGTTTGAAATAAGCACACAGCAGACTATACTTGGATAAGGATTTGAATTTTTTACGAGATATGAGAATATGTTAGTACTTTAATAAACAATATAGTCCAGGAGGTGGCGCCAAAAACATGCAAGAGTTTTCGCAAGGCGGATATTTTCAAAATAGGTCGTACTTTAGTGCTAGAATGCTAGTGTACAGTCAGCCCTCACAGTTCCGGGACAGCTGGCTCTGGGACGCGGGCAAAGTTGTAATTTTAAGAAGCATCTAAACTGTTTTCTCAAAGCTCAAAATTTATAGAAATTTCGCACATTATCTGTTTGAAGGTCACAGATAACGTATGTAAATCGTCACACGTCTAGTTCGTTGCAAAAAGAGGGTCAGACGTCCTCAAAGTTTTTATTTTATGGCATTTTCTTCGGTGTCCTGTCAAAATATATTTTTGCAGGTATTTGACAAATATATTTGAAGAAAATGCCATAAAATAAAAACTTTGAGGACGTCTGACCCCCTTTTTGCAATGAACTAGACGTCTGGCGATTTACATACGTTATCTGTGACCTTCAAACAGATAATGTGCGAAATTTCTATAAATTTTGAGCTTTGAGAAAACAGTTTAGATGCTTCTTAAAATTACAACTTTGCCCGCGTCCCAGAGCCAGCTGTCCCGGAACTGTGAGTGCTGACTGTACACTAGCATTCTAGCACTAAAGTACGACCTATTTTGAAAATATCCGCCTTGCGAAAACTCTTGCATGTTTTTGACGCCAGCTCCCCAACTAATACAACTAGACAGTGTGTATTTTCACAACTTCAACAAATCAAGAATTTGGGAAATCTCATCATCCAGGATGTTTTGGTTGCGTGTCCCTCACAACAACGATCCTTATTCGCCTCACACCACCCCTAAACGAAACCCAAAGTTTGTGGTGAACTTTGTGCCACGTGTGCCTGCTACTTATATTAATCGAGATACAAAAGTAATTTTTTGATAACGAAACTAAACCCACAAAAAAAACTATTTTGCATGTTTTTTAACACTCTGTATATAAATCAATTGCAAAACAAGAATAACTACTACAGTTACGTAACAAAGTACCAGAAACGCAAATCGTAAAATGCCTGCCACAAAGTCATAAAACTCTTGTTTCAAGCATCACATTATATTGCGGGTTCGCGTCCCTGAAAATTCTTCTCTCTCGGCCGCGCTCTCTGACCTTCCTTCCGGGGTACCGCTGCCGTTGCGGTCAGAAAGGTTCTCAAAGGCATCTAAAGTTCGCATGCCAAAGAAAGACGGACGCCTCTAAAGGTCGCACCAAGGGACACGCGTGCATACGTTCGAGTACGTTCTTTGCTCAGTCAGTACGATGATCCGTCCTTTTAAACGAAACTGCACACAGAAGGATGTATGGTTGATGGATATGTGCGCTGTTGCCGAATTTCGAAGGTTTTAACTATGCGGAATTGGAAATTTTCGCCTAATCTAATATGAGGCAAGAATTTACGTTACGGAGATTTATTCTAGTGAGAATTTAGATGCTGTAAGAATGTCTTGACGTAATTTAATAATAACGATCAATTCACATATTTGTTTTATTTGATAATGGTTTCAATACAAAGTATTTTTTCCTCGATTTTTTCCTATGACAGAAGTACCTTTCCTCCTTAGGCCAGAATAAGGTTCTTCTTGTTCTTATTTCTCCTAGGGGGGAAGGTAGTAGATACTGTCGATGAGATGATACGATGATAGTAAAAATTTACTCAATGGATTATTGCTTTTTTTAGAAAGACAGGCTATCAATATCAAAGACTTTTCTGTCCAAATTCTTTCCGCTTCATTGAAAAATCCTCCTCACCTCTTTTTTTTTATCAGAATTATTGATTTGGCTGATGACAAATTGTCCGTTTCATTAAGAGGGGCTTCCATCTCTAGATATATCAAGTCACAATGAGCATAGACTGGATGTTAATGTTAATATTAAATATTTTACCTACAACGTTGAGAGATCTTCATCTTCTTTTTTGACGTTGATGTTCAACCTTTGAAAGATAGTTATGTTCCGTTTAGAGTGAGTGCTCTCAGATCCAGCTTCCTTTTTTTTGTAAACCGTACTAAGGTGGTTTTACTGGGACTTATGGATAGTTCTTCTCACTGTAAGTTTTGATTATGTTCAAGACACTTTACATTCGATCTGTTATATTATGATATATACCGGGTGCCCACGAGATCACTTTCCGGCTGCCATTTTTTTATTTGTTTATCGATATCAACGAAACTTGGTAGGGTTGATATTCTAACCAAACGCCATTTTTATGCATTTATAAAAAGTTTTCCTAACTTCCGGTTTCACCGGAAATGACCGAAACTTTTGATTTTCAAATGGCACACCCTATATATTTTTTGTTTTTCGGATTCTACAGATCGTTTCACGTCCTAATGCACCACTTTTGAATCGAGTTTTTTCCAAATTTTGTTTTTAAATTAAATTTAATTTTTTTAATTAGAGTGCCATGATCATCCTAAAATGACTCTACATACTTTACTTAATTTCGGGAAAATACAAACTTAATTCTATCTTTGTAAACTTTTTTGATAGAGGGCTGTAAACTCCATTATTTTAGTATTTTTGCCCTAGCTCAAAAACTAGAATAGAAAGATATCACTTTCATAACATCACTAAATGCAGTATTTTAAGGCGAATCCAACAATATAATACACCACGATATTTTCCATCCGTTTAAACATTTTTGATTTATTATGTAGGTTTTTTTTTCTACTAAATTTAATTTGAAAACTAAATT